GCTGGAAGGACACTCAGGTACACACAGGTACACACAAGTACACACAGGTACACTCAGGTACACACAAGTACACACAGGTACACTCAGGTACACACAAGTACACACAGGTACACTCAGGTACACACAGGTACACACAAGTACACTCAGGTACACACAGGTACACACAGGTACACTCAGAACCAGGTACTGGATCAGAACTTCACCAGCTTGTGTCTGCAGCTGTCTCAGGCAGGTGATCTCATCATTGAAGTTTATCTGGAGATGAAGATGCCCGACTGCTGCATCACCCTGAAGGTATGCCCATCAACTATCAGCTGTCACCTGACAGGTGTGACACATGACCTCTGACCCCGCAGGTGTCCCCCACCATGTGTGCCGAGGAGCTGACCAATCAGGTCCTGTACATGAGGAACATCCCGGCCGGAGACAAAGACATCTGGATGACCTTTGAAGCCATCGAGGATGGACAGCTGGGTGAGTGCTTCACCTGTCGGACCTATGCACCTGTTCCCTGTTCACACCTGTCTGCCTGGTGCCATGGATGAATGTTGGGCTGCACCTACCTGTCTGTTGTCGTCCCCTCAGAGCGACCTCTGCACCCCAAAGAGAAAGTTCTGGAGCAGGCGCTGCAGTGGTGCAAGATGGCCGACCCAAGCTCCGCCTACCTGGTGGTGAAGAAGGTTCCTAAAGGAGAAGGCATCAACATCCTCACCTGTAGGTGACACACCTGTACATCTACAGGCTGACGGTGCCAACCAGGACGCAACTAACTGTCCCTGTTTTGCCCCGCCCCTTTTTTTATTCCTGCCTATCTGTCCCTCTGTCCTGCCCCTCTCTCTCTGTTCCGGCCCGTCTGTTCCTGTTTGCCCCGCCCCTTTATTTTTTATCCCCTTTTCTGTCCCTCTGTCCCGCCCCTCTCTGTCTGACCCCTTAAATTTTCCTTCACCCCTTTCTCTTTTTAACCATGCCTCTGTGTTTCCGCCCATCTGTTCCTGTTTGCCCCACCCCTTTATTTTTTATCCCCACCTTTTCTGTCCCGCCCCTCTCTGTCTGTCCCCGCAAATTTGTCCCCATCCTTCTCTCTTTTCGTCCTTGCCTATCTGTCCCACCTGTCCCCGCAAATCTTTCCCGCCCCTTTCTTATTTTATCTCCGCCCCTTCCTCTTTTTATCCCCGCAAATTTGTCCCCACCCCTTTCTTTTCATCCCCGTCCCTTCCTCTTTATCCCCGCCCATCTGTTCCTGATTTGCCCCACCCCTTTCTCCTTTTATCCCCGCCTATCTGTCCCTCTGTCCCGCCCTGGTCTGTCCGTCCCCGCCCACCTGTCCCTGTCCGTCCCCGCCCACCTGTCCCATCAGCCTACATGAGTGAGATCATGAAGGTGGGCCTGCTGAGGTGCCGTGAAGAACCTCCGAAGCTCCTTCAGGGGACCAGGTTCCAGGAGAGGACCTTCCAGATCCGGGACCACAAACTCCTGTTGCTCAAAGACAAGAAGGTGAGCTGGGTTCCGGGGGTCAGGACCCGGGTCCGGGAGAACGCTGACTGATCCATGTCTCCGTCTCAGAGCATCAAACCGGAGAAGGAGTGGTCTTTGAAGTCCATGAAGATCTACATGGGGATCCGTAAGAAGCTGAAGGCTCCGAGCAGGTAGGACCGGTCCAGGTGGAACCCACGGTTCTGTTCACTGGTTCTGATGAAGGTTCTGTCTCTGCAGGTGGGGCTTCACGGTGATGTCAGACAAACACCAGCTGTGAGTATCGGATCAACACTCCATCTGTTCAGAACCTCCTGGTCCAGGTTCTGATCCCGTGTGTGTCCCCTCAGGTTCCTGTGCTGCAGTTCTGAGGCGGAGCTGTGGGACTGGGTCACCAGCTTCCTGAAGGCTCAGGTGAGTTTACCGGTGCTCCTGCAGGTGGAACCAGAACCAGAACATCTGACTGCAGGTCTTCTCTGCGTGTCTCCTCTTCAGAACATCGACCCGGGTCCTGCCGTGCTGCGGCGCCACTCCTCCTCGGACCTCTCCAAGCAGAAGTTCGGGACGATGCCGCTGGTTCCGATCCGAGGAGACGAGAGCAACAGCAGCATGCTGTCGGCCAATCAGACGCTGGTACGAGCCGGGCCTTTTCTGGGTCTGAACTAGGGCTGCAACGACACATCGATCAAACTGATCGAACAGATAAAAATCGATTATTAAAAGCGTTAACGAGTTTAATTATCGATTCATTATGATTTATACGTCGCTCGCCGTGTCGGAGCCGTTTACATCACCTGCAGAGTGTTGTCAACGCTGCTGACCTGAATAAAGTTTAGGAAGAAAAAAAACTGTAAAGATCCGCCCTCTGAGACCCTCGAGTGAAAAGTAAAGACTTCGAACTTTAAACCAGTTTATAAATTGTGTCGTTAAACCAAGTAGATCTGAAGTTATGATAAAAATATATTTATGCTACATTTAATTTTTTAAACGACGGTCGATTTGATTCGTTTCCTCCTCTCGGGACCAAAAATATAAAAACCTGCAGTTTTTTCTGACCGAGACTCAAAGTTATTTGATACGCAACAAAAAGGTTCAGGAAGAAGAAGAAGAAAAAAAAAAGATGCGAGCAGAACTCCTGGTCTGACTCAGTAGGGGAGGGGGAGGAGGGCTGCTGCTTCAGAACCGCTTACTGGGTCGTTTTAGCCACAGACAGAACCAACAAGAAGGAAGCAAAACATAGTTTTACATCTAAAAATCATATTTTATTTTCTTCTGTTTTCCACATTCAGCAACCTATTAAATTTGTTTTGTTTTATAGCTATAACAAAGTTTATTAATNCTATGAAGCGGCGCTTCATAGAGCACAGAGAGGGAGAGAGAGGACGGAAAAAAACAAGCAGGAAAATGAAACTTATCGCCGTCTTTTTTTTAACCGACCTAAAAAAAAGTTATCGTGCGATTAATTGATTTATTGACTATCGCGACAGGCCTACCGCCCCCTCCCTCCCTCCTCTTCGGCCCCTCTTACCCACTAAGTACCCCTCTCTGCTGAGCCTCTGCAGCCTCTTCAGCTCTTCAGGCTGGAGCTCCGCCTCCGTCTGAAGCGCCGCCTCCTTRAGGCGCTCCTTACGCCTGAACATCCTGTAGGGGGTGGGGTTGATGATGGGGAACTTCAGCAGGTTCAGGGTGGTCCCTGAACGCAGCGCGGCGAGGAGAGAGAGGAGAGAGAAAGTTAACAGCTGTAGAGATAAACCWGCATCTCTGGTTCTGGTTCTGGTTCTGACCGGGCCAGGGGGAGATGGTGGCCTTGTGGAATACATCAATGGCTCTGGTCTTGCAGTAGTCTGAGTCCAGCAGRGTGTTGAAGAGCGTGGACTTCCCGGAGTTGGAGCTGCCCACCAGGTACACGTCCCCTTTGTACTTCCAGGCCTTCTGCAGGCTGGAGATCAGGTTCTCCACGCCGTACCCGGTCTTGGCGCTGATCAGGTGGACGTCGGTCACCTGAGAACCGAACCCGGCGTCCTCGCAGTACCGGGTCAGCTGGCGCTTGATGCGCTGCAGGTAGTTGGGCGCGTCCTGGGGCAGGAGGTCGATCTTGTTGCCGAGGACCACGACATGCTTGTTGGTCCCCACCAGGCCGGGCAGGTCGGGGACGATGGAGTCCGGCAGGTCCAGGAGGTCCAGGATGAGCAGCACCAGCGCCTTCTGGTCGCGGATCCGCTGCACCACGTCCCGGTACTGGCTGTGGGGCATCTGCAGGTGCAGGGCCTTCTGGTGGTGGCTGAGCAGGTGACAGCGCTGGCAGATGGCTCCGTCCAGTTCCCCGTCCTGCCGCAGGACCTTGTACTTCTCGCTGGGCAGGTAGCCGGGGGCGTCGACGGCGACGCAGTGCAGGAGGGCGCCGCAGCCCGGGCAGCAGGTGTCGCTGATGGGCTCGTCCACGTCCGGACTCCCCACCACCTGGTGCTCGCCTTTCTTCTTCTTCTTCTTCTTCTTCCTGTCGGACCGCACCAGGTCCTCATCCAGCGGGAACTCCACATCCTGGAACTCTATGGTGGAGCTTGGCTCCGCCTCCTGCGTGGCCACGCCCTCTAACACCTGCAGCTGACGCTCCAGAGCCCTCAGCTGTTTCGTATGGGAGACAGGACCCTTGGGAGCCGGTGCAGGAGGAGCCAAGGAAAGTTTGAGCTGCTGAAGGAGGAGCTGCTCGTAATCCTGTTCGGGTTCCTCCTCTGGACCTGGACCAGGAGAGACAAGAAGAGGTGATGCTACAGCTACCTGCAAGTACCTGTTCTATATGCTCACCTGAACCGCACTGGAGAGAATCAACACTTTAATAAAACAGAACATTTTAATTATAAATTAAACTGGAGAAACTGCAGTTCCTGTGAGAACTTCAGCTGAAAGCTGCTGAAACTGAGCAGAAAATATTTAATAGGAAAAGTATTAATATGAGCTCACTTTGAAAAGCTGAAAGAAGCAAAAAACAAACAAATAAATAAATAAATAAACATAACTAACTAGAAACGGCTAAAAGCTAAGAGCTAAAATAGCTGAATATAGCTGAAAACATCTGTAAGAAGCATTAATAGCACTAGAGAGCAGAAAGAAAGCAGAAGGAAGCAGATCTGTAGCTAAAATTAGCATAAAATAAGCTAAAGGTAGCAGCCACAATTTGAAATTAGCACCCAGTTGAAATAGTTATAGTTGAAAAACAGCTCAAAAAATAAAAATTACATAAAAGTCATAACTAAAATAGCTGATAGAGCTGGGCGGTATGACCCAAATTTTATATCACGGTATTTTCAACAATTACACCGGTTTCACGGTATTTGAC